GGCAGTATGATAAGGTAAGTCATTTTCTCCAATCTCTTCAATAAATTGTCGGAATTGTCGGTGATTCAGCCCAAAAGATCTGATAAAATTAACAGTTGATATGACTGGTTTCAGAACTTCAGACATATCCAAACATTTTCCGCACCAACGATTGTTGATGAATGATACAACCTTTCATTTTCTACAGCCTCCTTTGACAAAAGAGCGACCACTCCTTTATCTTTCCCACTCATGTTTTTGCCTCCATCAGTTGTATTACATTTCAAGATTTTCCATCGAAGTTTCTTTTGATTAATGGCCATATCAACTCCTTTTAAAAATATCTGTACCAGTAGTTGCACCATGAATACTATACATATGAAGAAGTTCTTCATGCACTTCATAGCTTTTATCTACTCCTCGAATATAAATCAACACCTGAGCAGTATCTGACACATCCAAGGCCAAAGAAAACCACTCAACATGTCCATTTTTGTCGAACAGTTGAGAGGATATATTTTCAGCAATGTTTTCTACCCTTCGAGCCACAGTGTTTGCTGACATACTGACAGTTTTTAAGAAATTTACCTTTTCAGGGCCTATTTCTTCAGCTACTGCAATTATGCATTCTTTGATCATTTCTCCATCGGAGAATGGTTTTCCAAGTTTTGCAATTTCAAGAGCCACACGAAAGCTGGCACGAGTTGCAGCCTCTTGTTCAGTTTTGAGTTTTGTAAATGAAAATTGCTGCGATTTCAATCCGCGCTTCATAGCTTCGAATTTTTCTGTCCGCAAACTTCCTGTATATTTTGAGTAATTTTGAAAATGTGTTGTTTCATAATGACGTTTAATGTTATATTCTTTGAGAACGGCTATGCTTTCATTGCAAATCAAACATAGCGCCTTGTTACTGCACTCAATTACGAAATACTGAATGTTCCACTGATCTTTGAATTTTCGCTTCTTTTCCGTATTACTAAATCACACACAAAAGCAACAATTCAAATCAAAATACTGTTACAAAGATGTCTTAAACACGCACAAACACGTTTTAAGGAGGTACTCACTATTTTATTTCACAACAGTGTCATAGGAACTGACTTCTGTACGTGCTATTAGCGCCATCTGTTAGCGATAGAAGGTACTACCTATTTCCGCTTGTGTCCACCAGATGTCGTGTCACGTTAGTCCTCATGGCTCGTACTCTACGACTAATCTAGAAATTACAGATAATGACAGGAAAATTAATAATATGCAGTGTTGCCGTTTTGCGGACTTTAGTCCGATTTGCAGCCTTTTTTAAACGTTGCGTACTTTTTTTTTTCATCAGTGGACTATTTCACTTTTTACCACCGGCAACAATGATAATATGGTTTTGGCCCTCGGAACTTACTGGAGTAATTAGTATGGCCCTAACGCTGGAAAGTTTGGAGACCCCTGCCTTAGACAATCAAATTGGAGCTGCGAGAATTGGCTCTATGCCAACTGCCCGAATGACACTCACGTGATACACAATTCGCTAAAAAAGTGATCTCTTCTGATGTCGGCGCAAAACTCGCCTTTTTTGGCGGGATCGTTGTATGAAATTCCCTTTTTTCAGATCAATCCCCCTTTTTGCAGATTTTGACTAAAACACTTAAATTCCCTGACTTTTCCCTGAATTTTTTGGCCAATTTCCGAATTCCCTGACTTTTTCCGGTTTTCCGGGTAGCGTGGCAACCCTGTTATTAACTTTCAAATACTTTAGGTAAAGTACAGAATCGCACACTTATTTGTTTGGCGTTTGCAAGAGTAAGAATTGGTTTCGGTCAATTTTCTTTGACTTTTTAAATGAAAATAGGTTCATGTGTACATGGATAAAGTCAAGGGAGTGCGCAATGTCATTTTTGTGCAATTCTAAGATGTTTCTTCAAGTAAAAAATTGGTCGATGTGTACATGGATACCGAGTGTGTGTAATTCTTAAAAACGCGCCAAGCAGTGGGCGATTCTTCACCTTTTTCGGTGTTTTTTTGAAGTCCTGTTTTAGATATTTTTGCATGTTTACAGAATTAATTCAAATTTGTAACCGGCAATATGATGAGTTAGCGATTTTCTAAAACACACGAAAACAATCGATTCGGCGACTTGGCAATTTTTTTTAAAACTCACCAATCTGGACCGTAATATCTAGTTTTACCATATTGCTGTTGTGAAAAGACATGTTTGAAGATAAGTACAAGTTTAACAATTTAAAAATACTGTAATTCTAAAAACAAATCATGTAGACCATGGCAGACAAAATAAGAAAGGCACTGCAAAAGCATATGGCTAGACATGGCCAGAATCTCAAAAAATAGCACACATTAGCTTCCTGGCAAAACATACTTTGGCTCAACTTCGATGTGGGAACACTCAGATAACCGGCACTTGGCGCAATTTTTTCCGCCATCTTAAATTGGCGAAATTCGCCAAATCCTCGGAAGGATTTTTTTGACATAACCGGCACTTGGCGCAATTATTTCCGCCATCTTAAATCGGCGAAAATCGCCAAATCCTCGGAAGGATTTTTTTGACGCCAAGAGGGAAATGACGTGAAAAGACGCTTTTCAGACGCCATGTAATTATTACAAAATTTACAAAATTTCCCTCTTGAGCCCGATATAGGGGAGAAACCCTTGCTAGGCGAAAATCGCCTGAGGCTAAATACAGTAACGCGTTTGCGTTAAAAAAAAGGTAAACAATGCACATAGAACTAATTTAGTTATTGATGTGGTTAAATTAATCTTCATACTTTTTTCACTTTAGTATTTTAGATTATGATATATATAACTCCAACATTATTACCGTTTATACTTCTCTTTTTAATTCTGACCATTAATTTTTACAATTAACCACAATAATAGTTAAATATGTTTTAAAATATGGTCTTCATATAAATGCAGTAAAGATCATGCAAATGGAATATTTATCACGCAAGTAACGTTAAAAATTTTAAAAGATCAAATATACATGAATTTACTATTTAAAAAAATAAAACTTTCATTTCACACATTACAAAAGAAATGTAATTCTGAATTGCATAACTGCAGGGAAACAAGATTTGTAACAATATATTTCAGGAATATATTTCGGTTATGTATTTGTTGCAAACATGGTGATGCAAAAATTTCAATATTTATATTCATTGCCATTAAAAACTAACATGAGTAACAACACAGCAGAAAAATCTATGAAGATAAATCTTATTCAAAGATTTGATGATATAAATTTAATTAACTTTTATTTGTTTTTCTGTGAAAGAATTTTGCTCAAGTTTTGTAAAACAGTTTAAATTTTTTACTGATACACCGAACTCCCCAAAATCCGCTATGTAAAGAAATCAGTGAAATATACTTGACTTAGAAAAGTAGCAGAATATTGTTTCTTTAATATTTTACATTAACTTATTAGCATTTCAAAGTCTTATAAGCATTTTATTTCAATATAAACTCTATTAGGAGGGATTAAAAAATTGCTTGTATGATACAGAGTGTTTGTCAGCGAGATAGCAGTAAAAATGTTGCACACTAGTAGTTCGTCTAACGGATTTCCGTCATCTTAAGCAAATAACCCGCGAGTGCTTTTCTCATTCTAAATAATTCCTGTTAGGAGTACAATTAATTTATTTTAGAAATTAATTCCTGTTTGTTAAAGCTAGATAAATAACACACATATAATTAAATATTAAGTAATTTTAAAAATGTGCCCATGCGAAGGATAAGTTAGAAAAAGACCATATGTTATCTACTTTGTTGTACTAATTATAAGGGTCATTAATTTATAAGTTCATTAAGTTATTTAGAAAATAATTTATAAGGTAATTAAACGGCAACTGGGAGCGCAGTATTAATATTATTTAAATAATTATGAATTAATTTGGTAATACTTATTTATCTAATTTTTAAATCATTAATAATTTTAATAGTAATTTTATTTTCTAAAATGTTTTTAGTATAGCGAAAATAGCGGTTTATGGCAACTTGAAGCCCGTCTCCGGTAATTAAATAATTATGATTTTAATAGTATTTAGACGTTTAATAGATTTTAATAGTCTAATAAATAATAATACTTTGGTCTAATAAAATAATTAAATAGCGAATGATCATACGGAACAACAAACAGCATATGAGCGTACGCACCACGTATGCTAACAAAGTTACTTGATCAGCACAACGATTCATCTGCAAAGTCACATGATAGCCAAAGCAAGTATTTACATATAGAAAGAAAATATCCCTTCGCTTTTCCCTTTCTCCCTAGCGTAGTGAAGATCTAAACTAGCAACCTAAACTCTCCTCCCACTTTATAGCGCGTTATCTGAGTATTCCCTTTGCGGATATTAAGAAAAATATTAATTTGTTCAGCTAGACATTTAGCACCAATGCTCATCCAATAACAACAACAAAATTATCAATCTGTTCACAGAATGTAATAAGAAATTTGTGTAAATAAGTACATAAGCAACAACAACAACAACAACAACAACACACACACACACACACACACACATAAAAAAAAAAAAAAAAAAAAAAAAAAAAATCACTGCCACACCATCCAATTACGTTTGAATAAGAAAATAGAGTTATGTGCACAGCATTGAAAGAATACCTTTTAAGTACACCGTATTCATTTCTTTCCCTAAATCGAGCAGAACCATGTAATTATTTAATCTGCAACTACATCCTGAAATTTAATAATACACACAAATTATATACATTTAATACACATTTTGTACTGAAATTAAATAATTACAAATATAGTTTTTACTAACCTATACATGCAGAAATTCAGGGATAAAAGATCGCCAGATCGCATTCACCAGTTCGCTTTAAAAAATGAATTAACATAAATAATTACAATTGAAAACCTATTCATTTAAGCAAATAATGGATTATAAATTTTAATTTTACCTTACAATCAAGAATGAGAATAGGCGCATCACACCCACACCACGCTGCATACAGGCAAGAGACCATTAACTGGGCTTAATAACAAAACAACCACATCACAGCAAAAGCCACTGCTTCTTGCTGCAATTTTTAATTTCGCTACAAATAACAGAATAATACTAGAATTGCTTACAATAAATGTACATAGAATGTTAGGCTTTTGGTATTAATATTACACGCTCTAGCTCGGCTGAAGTTAATATGTTAATGTTTCTGGCTAAGCATGTTCAACTAGATGCATTATTAAAGCTGATTTCCAATAACGTCTGGAAAGTTGAGCGCAGATAACCAAAATATTTGCTCAGCGAGATATTTAACATTACTATTAATCCGATATCAAAGAGAACATGAAAAAATGAGTATATTTGTTCAAAAGAACACAGAAATACAAGAATATATTACATTTCGCAGTATTTAATAAGAAAAATGGGTGAATAAGTACGTAAACGACACGAATTTTTTTTTCTTCCTTTTAACTGCACACACAAACCGATAAACTATATACAATTCATAAATAATTTTTTGTATTCAAAGTTAATTAAATATTTACAAAATCAAAAATAATTCTTACCTATACATTCAGCACAAAACGAATTATGCCTATAATTGCGGTCTGTGCAAGAAAAAAAAATTATATTGATTAAAATTAACTAAAATGACAATTAAATTAAAAAAGACTATTTATTTAAGTAGAAAAAGTAATATTTGGAACAATAGATATCACTCGTATACTCACCACCACACCATCCGACCACGTTCGAGAACAAAATGGCGCTCGATTCGCATGGCACATTTAAGGCATGTTCATGCGCAGATGGTCTCTGCGCAACCAGTCGTACGTTTAGCATTTTTACCATGTTATTTTTCCGTTTGGACGTTGTACGGGTAGACACTTCCCTGATTTTCGCTCGAAATGGAAAAATAACAGATTTGATAATATGAAGGGCTTAGCCGAGCGGTAAAGCGCTAGACTCCCATCCCAGAGATAGCGAGTTCGAATCTCGGCCGTGGAGTTTATTTTTAAAATTCATTAAAATGGATTAAAATATAATGGAGTGAATTAAAAATAATGACGGATTAAATAATTAAAAAGGATGATTCATAATTAAATAATGAAACATAATTAAAAAACTAAAATAAAGGAAAAAAATGGTAAATAGACGTCACGTGGTTTAAGCGACCGTTGGAACAAGCATAAAAAATATCGTCGTTGCCACAAAGAATAAAAACTTTGAAAACATAAAATCGTTGCCACAGAATAAAAACGAAAGTTTGATGATATCATTCCATCCCGTGATACAAGATGGCGCTGTTGTCGTCACTTCTGGTTCCAGACCCCTCTGGATACTGCCCACGCCCCTTTTCTGTGACGACACTTCCGCCGCCCGGTTACCTGCACTTACTACTGCCGTGGCAACTGCTTCGATTGTATCCTGTGGTACAGGTTTTCGTCCTCTGCCTGACTGAACCTTCAGAGAACCTGATTTTTCAAACGTCGCAACCATTGCTTTTAGCCCATTAACTGACACAGGACCGTTACCTTTACGCATTTTTTGTGCGTTCTAAAAGCACGGGCTGACGCGTTGCACTGGTTGAGGTAAAAGAATTTGACCAGTCACGCACGCTCGACTACAGATGGAGACATTGCACATAAACTTTCAATCTGATTGATTCGAAACGTAACACACTGCCTTTTAAAACCCAAACAACTCGCATTGTGCGAATGGATGTAACGTGAAATTTGAATAAAGAACTTCAGCTCAGTGTACGTGATATTGCAGATCACGAGACTTTATCGGTGTTTATGTAGATTTTACGCTTTTTTAAAAGTGTTGCCATATTGCACATGAACTAAATCAGAATATGTGCATAAAAAAGGTAATTTTATTCCATATTAATTTGCATTTGTTAACACTCTATTTTCTATTATACAGCGCCAAATATTCCCCTAGGGGTGACTTTTGGAACTAATTTGTTTTTCGCAGAATCCTTCTCCCCCGTCTTGTTTAATCTTCCTACAAAATGTGGCGTCATTCTCGCAAATTAATTATGGCCACCCGGTATATCAATACCATTAGAAAATACACTTGACATTTTTACTCAATTCTAAGGCGACATACTGTTATAAGAATGGTTTTAGTTAAATTTATAAGGCAAATAAACATATTTTGTGCTAAATAGGCATAAACGCTTAAATTGAGAATATTTCTTTTTAATCCGATGTAATACATGAATTTCATTCATGATATGCCTTTTCTATTGATTTATTTGATAATACACTAATAGAAAATTTTTACTTTACAAGTTCAACTTTTAACGAAATAGAAATAAAATCCACGATACATTCTGCTATTTTTAAGAAAAGGAACTTTGATATACTACTGGAAAAGCAAATGCTTTTAGAGTTTTCTTTTCCATAACATTGGTCTGCATTTGTTTATTAATTTAAAAGATTCTCTTATCAGCTGATATATTTTCTTATGAATAAAACATTGTCAAAATTGTGACACAGTATAACTCTTACGAATACACATACCTTCACTATCATATACTCATTACCAATTGAACCAAAGAAAGACACAGATATTTTAACCTAATCTACATTAAATTTAAAAAAAATATATATTTAAACTTTCATACATTCTCGAGTACGAATGAAAACTAAATAGAAATTCTTATGTTTGCATATATTATATAAAGCGTTTATGAATGTTATTTGAAGTAATGCTTAGAACTTCATAAAAGGGAGCATTCACTATGTTACTATACAAATCTTCAGATATTTACATTAATGAATGTAATATCATTATTCATTACATATGCTATATGCATATATATTTAAAATTTAATTGTCTTACGCCTGAACAATTAACTATTGGGAAAAAGATATCGATATCGTACACTATTTAATTCACATTGAATAAATATTCTCAAGACCCACATTGAACAATGTTTATTAAATTCTTCAAAGCTCTTTTATTTCTGCATGTTCACACTCACGACACATTTTAAAAGTAACTACTGGTTACCAGTTTAGACACCGATATCATAACTCAATGTAACACTACATGATAACTCATTTTTTCTACTAGTTACAATTTTATATATTCAAGAAGTACATCTATGACTTGATCATTTTCTATTTTCTAAAAAATCGATTCAATTCAGAACATACCATTAAGACTTGTGATTTTAGTAGACTTACAGTCGGTCACGAAAGTATTCGAACACCGTACCCTATCAGAAAATGACAAGATGGCGTTTTTTTTCTCTCTTTCCTTCGTGTCTTTCCATCCTAGGTGTTTCTTCTTTCCCCATCTTGGAAGAACGGGACATGACCGCTTACCACGCCTCTCTCACTCTGTTTGAAACGGGAAACCATTTTTGGGGGGACTTTGGAAGTCTGCACCCCGCTGTTTTTTTTTTTTCTGAATTCGGAAAACCATTTTGGGGAAACGGACTCTCTGATCTTGGAGAATTGGGGGGGGGGGGAATGAACGCTCTACGCGATCTCTCTCTGTCTCTTTGAATTTAGAAGGTATTTCGGGACCTTCTAACCTTGGAAAATGGAAATGAACACTCTATATACCCTCTCTTTGTTTTTTTTTTTTGTTTTTTTTTGTTTTTTTTTTGAATTGGGTAGCCATTTTGGAGGATTCCCCCCTCCTTAACCTTGGAAAACTGGAAATGAACGCTCTACACGATCTCTCTCTCTCTTTGAAATGGATCACCATTTTTTTAGACTCCCTAACGTTGGAAAAAAAAATTAAAATGAACGCTCTACACCGATTTCTCTCTCTCTTTGAAATGGGTCGCCATTTTGCGACTCCTTCTCCCCCAAACTTGGAAAAAAAACTGAAATGAACGCTCTACACAATCTCTCTTTTTTGAAATGGGTAAGTCATATTTTTTTTAGGATTCTTCCCCTCCTTCTAACCTTGGAGAATGGAAATGAACGCTCTACATCCTCTTTCTTTGAATTAGGTAACCATTTTGAGACTCTCCCATCTTGGAAAAAAAAACTGAAAAATGAACGCTCTACACGCTCTCTCTTTGAATTGGGTAGTCATTTTTTTGGGATCCTTCCCATCTTGGAAAATGGAAAAGGAACGCTTTACACCTTCTCTCTCTGAATTGGGAAACCACCAAGATTGGTATGTATAATTTTTTTTATTGTTATCATGACCCTCTTACAAAAAAATTTTTTTTTTGTTTACAACATTTCCGATGTGATTTCAGAAATGCAACCCCATAACAGTTCAATTTCATCCGAAGATAATTGATCTAAACAATTTTTGACCCACCCATCCGTATTATTTCCTTCTTCTTCAGGATCCATCCAACTTTGTAAGTCCATATAATCTTTCCATACGGGAAAGGCTGGATCCTCCCCAGATTGTCTTGAAACTCTTGGAGTCTCTTTGGGATGAGTGGGAGGATCCACGATGTCTGAACCCGGCTGAGATTCTATTTCCATGACCTCTGGACACGTTGGAACTTCTGGACCCGACTGAGATTCTATTTCCATGACCTTTGGACACGTTGGAACTTCTGGAGCCGGCTGAAGTTTGACGACCTCCATGATCTCTGGAAAAGTTGGAGAAGAAAAAGAAGATGTTGGAAAAGGTTCTGGACACGTCTGAGAGAAGTCCGAAAGAGGCTGCTTGTCTGAACCCGTCTGCGAAGAAGAAGAAGAAAGATTCCAGGTTCTTGGATGAATCTTCCCCGTCAGGCATGTTACGATAAGTCGACCGTTTTTTAATCGGTAATTTTTCTCTTCTTCCTCCTCCTCCTCATCTTCAATGGTGATGATTTCGATTACTTTCCGTTGACTCGTTCCGGGCCAGGACGGTTTGATCCATCTGCACTTATCATCTAAAGGAGGGATGGGAGAAAGTGGCCGTGGGTCCTCTCGAAACATCATCGGCGTTTGAAAAGGAATCTGTTTTTTTATTTGTTTCCAAAGCGTCCACGGGCATCGATCCACGAGAAAGAGGCTCTTCTGGATCGTGAGGATGAGGTAGCACGTTTTCGGAGGAATGACATAGTTTTGGAAAGGTCTTAAAACATCTTTCTTAAATTTCGTCCTGTCGGCGATGTTAAAACTTCTTTCCTGGAGATGGAGCGACGAGGATTCGTAATAGACGAGGGGGGAAGCTGTGGTCTGAACAATATGCACTTCGTCCTCGGCCGTCGTTCTGACTCCAAACGTAAAATATCTTTTCGTGAGAAAAATATTCCTCCATCGAAAACTCATGCGGGGATCCGTATACCTCCGATCTGTTTGAATAGGCCGTCTCAAAGCTCGATTCACCCGGTTCCAAGAGATGGGAGATTCCTCTTTCGTTTGTTGAGATTCGAATAAATTCCTATACAGGTTTTGAACGAGCAGGTCAGAGGATCCGACATCCTGCTTGAAAGAGACGATGGCTCGATAAGTGGGTAGATGTGGAATAAATTTGCACAGAATGACATGCCAGAAAGATTTTCATTTGATTTGTTGAGCGTTTTCAAATCCTCTACACCCGAAATGGGTTGAGTCGGAAAAACATCGAACAGCGACATGGCTCCTAATGGGAAAAAAATTCATCTCGCTCAGTGCTCTCCGCCTTCT